AAAAAAAAAAAAAAAAAAAAAAAAGTGATAGTGAAATACTGAAAAGAAACCTCTTCCATTGTAATTATTCCAGATAATTAAATACACTATATAAACACTATATAATATAAATCAGGCATCAGTAGAAATCAAATCAGAAGGAAAATGGGAGAAAGCTTTTAAATTTAGATATATAGTTCCCTGATTGAGGCCTACATTCTTAGTGCAGTACCCTTAAAATACCCTCATCTTACCTTAAAGTACCTTAAAGTACCTTAAAGTACCTTACCTTACCTTACCTTACCTTAAAGTACCTTAAAGTACCTTAAAGTACCCTCATCCCCAAACCAGATGTTCTAAGTCTATTTGGGAATGACTTTGGGAACCAGCAATACACCTTAGTCTGGATTCTGGATAAAGGCAGCACCATATAATTCTAAATTTAATTTCTACTTTGGCAAAATCAGAAAATCAACATGACTTTAATTTTAATGTAATTCAAAAATTTGCCTTTTCACTGCAGCAGAAGTCATGTTTAATTCATAATCCTTTATCACAAGTCTTTCTGAAACTTTTTCAAGACGATTGTTTAAAATGTTCATTACTATATGGGCTTTTTGCATAAAGCATTTCATTTCACATTCATCAGTATTTTTAGTTTTTGATAATTGATACTTCAAAAAAAACAGAATGAAAGGCAAAGCTGAATCTTTGCTTTGACAGAGCTCTTGCAACTGCASCTACTTCAAATCTTAAGAGACAAATTGGCTAAAATTTAAATATGGAGTTATTATTTATTATCTTATCATTAGTCTTATATTTAATCATATTAAAGCTACTCTAAAGTAGATTTAATGGAAGGTTTTAAGCCTCATTTTATTCTTTGACTGACATCAGTTCTCAGGATACAATGACAACTGTTAGATTAATGCCAAGACCTAATGGGGAAAAGCACAGAAATATTTACCTGAAGCTCTGGAGTGGATTTTACAGACCTATGTAACTACTTGATGCTAAAAGGCTACGTGGGAAGTTGCCTATGATTGTTTCAGCTCAGCTTCTTTTAGTCAATGTGCTGTATGAGAAAAACATCATATTTGGTGGCCTCATATGCAGTTATAAAAAGAGTATCAACCAATAAATCATGAGAAATCATCTCAGCCCTGGAAAAGGTCTTGCAATTTAAGCAAGACTGTGGATCAGAACTCCMGCTAATATAAAACAACTTGCGGATTCACCTTATCTAAAGATCAGATCCTCCAACAAATCTTTATTGCTGCTTTGCCTGATGAACTGAAATATGTAGTGAGAACTGAATCTCATTTACACTGTGATGAATCCCAAGAATGCAAATAGAGCGGAGGCAGGACGGCACAGGTGTAATGCAGATGTATTGACGTGAGCTTCTCCTGCTTTTTTATCTGCCATTTGAAAACGTACTTAAAATCACTTCATCTCCTCTCTCTCTGTTACCTTGTTCATTTGATACATCACACTTAGGAATCTGGGAGCAATAACCAATCCGGATGTTTGGGTCAGTAGTAAAACACCAGGGTGATTCAGATCCATCTGGATTTCGGCAGTAGTTCTCCCTCAAATCCCTATAAAAACAAATATGTTAGCCTACAGCAGGGATAACCTAAAACCACCAATGCATTATATCACTTTTTATTATGAATTAGCAATAATATAGGGTCCTTATGGTATATGTGTTACTCATCAGTGTCAAGTGCAAAAAGACACAGAGCCAGGATGAATACAGCATCTAGTAAAATATAGCAGTTGTAACAACAATATAGTTGTGGGAATTCATTTTCAATGGACCTATGTTTTGACTGGCTATAAGATTTCATTAGAAGATTAAAAATATTTTCAATATAGTTATTTTGATTCAGGAATCTTCATCAAAATTTAAATGTAAAGTGGCACCAGGTACAACTGCAATCCATTACATGTGCTTTCAAATACAAACATTACTGGAATACTTAAAATTCCCAGCACTTTGAATTGTTCCATTGAGCTTAAAGAAAGAGAGTCCTGTGGATTGTTAGTGCTTCATTTAAGAAACTGAAAAAAATGTATACTGAAATTCAATATGCGTTATCTTTAGAAGAAAAGTTAGCCACAAGGGAGTGTCTTTAAATGTCTCTTGCAGCTTCAATTAAGTAGTCAAAACTCTCAAATGTAAGTTTTACTCTACCATCTTCTGACAGTTGTTCTCTGCAGTTCCATATCTCACTGCTTTTCTCCACCAGCAGCATTTACTGATAACTGACTACAGAAGGGATGAGCTCAAATTATCACCTGAACGTCATTCACAGAAATGGTTCAGCTGGTTCTACTAGAGTTATTGGTCTGAATAGCCACTACCCTCTGAAGTGGCAGCTAATGAAGCGGTCCTAATATTTTAACTGCTCTGCTAACACTGCAGAAAGGCCTAATCATAACGCAGTGTTACAAAAGTACAAAATAAAAAGTTGTTTAAGTGGTATTTTGTTTGAGAAAATTCTGTGGGATCAGGCTAAAGCACTAACTTCTAAACTCAAGGAGGATCCTGAGATTCACAGAAGCTCAGAGTCAATCCTGTTTTCTTTTACAATGATTATTAACTATTGCTAACTTTTCATTAGTTGTGTTATTACAAACAATATTTGATCCATAAGCCATCCATAATAATGGTGAACAAATTAAAGCAGCAAATCTGTTTTGCTCAAACAAGCCATTATTAAAGATATAATCTCTGACCAGAATCATCACTTTATCTCACAAGAACACACCATTAAAATAGGTGCAAGACATATAGCCATATAAAATTTATTCAGTATAAACTGGGCTTGACTGCCTGTTGGTTGTAGGTTTCCTTTAGACTTTGTGAAGTCATCTGAAGAATATTATTATAGAATATGTCAAAAGTAAGTAGATGATTCACGTGCTGGGAGTATTCCTCTCTCTTTATTAAGTGCAAGGGAGGTTAAGATGACCAATGGTAATCTAGGCAAAAAGGTCCTATTCAGGGGAATAGAAATACATTTAGTAATGAGACAGAACAAAACTCTGAAAAGATGCAAAATAAAAGAAGTGTGGCCAAATGCTATAAATGTCTAGTCTTCTCAATGAGATTACACATAGCTAACATGGGGGAAGACACAGCTAAAGTCAGCCTCAAAACTACTGACTCTCCTCTGAGAAAGAAAAACAACCATAATGTAAGACATCCATACACTTTACAATCAATTACATGGTGAATATATGCTTGAAGAAGAAGTTTAGGGGGAAAAAAAAAAAAAACAGATTTTAGGATTTTCCCATATTGAAATAGCTTCCAGTATCACAAGTAACTGGACTGGATTGCAGAGTGAGGGATGGGGGCCACATGACCTGCTCTGGTGAAACACAATTCTAAATTGCAGGAATTGTAATTGCCCGCTGCAGTAACACTTGCATCTGTCTACTCACTTGCACTTGAAGTTCTCTGGAGTGATATTGTGCTGGTGAGGGAACTGGGAGTCCCACCGCTGGCACTGTACTCCGCTCCAAATAGTGCTCACGGTGCCACGATAGCCCTCACCTTGGCCCTGGCTGCACGTCAGCGTCTCAGCTACTGCATCCGTGCTGTTCACAATGCTYGGATCTGCAGAAGGAGAGGAGAATTGCTGTCCCGCTCTCTTGGGACTGAGTCCAGGTGTCCCGTTACAAACTCTGTGTCACAGTTCAAGTTGCAGCAATTTGGGTCTTTTGGTGCAATTGCCAAGCTGAATTGTTTTAAAAAGTAACTTTCTCCTTTCCACATTTATAATGCCTATGAGATCAGAACAGATGCTGGATTCTTTAGGCCAAGAATCTAAAATACCTATAAYATCTAACAATTTTAGTGAGATATCCAGTCTATTCAATCGTGTTGAACATCATGTAATCAGTTTAGTTATTATTTCCAATTCAACTAATATTCTTTCATTTGCTTAGCTTTACTCAATTGAGAGACCACCCATGTTCACACTATTAAACATGATAGTATTCTTGCAGGATTAGAACCCWACTGATTTTCTCCAAAAAGGATGGGAAAACAAGCATAAATCAATGAAAATTGATAAAATCTTACTATTWAGTAATGTCTTAAATCCCTATTTTTATGATTCCTATAGTTAGAGAAGAAAAATCCCAAGCTTTTGGAAAGAGAATACTTTGYGAAGTATTCTCTACAGAGAGACGAATGTTGTAAAGACCAAGAAATTTATCATACTCAAGATCTTTTACAGATGTTGATATGTTCTGCCTTCATCCTGGTGTGGGCTGTCTTGAACTAAATTCAGAAAAACAGTGGTTTCTGCAATGACTCATTCACATAACTTTAATTTTTTTTTCTTATGCAATGTCCATAACTGGCAATTAATTGCACAGATATTGCATTAGATATATACAAAATAGTACAAAACTAATCAGACTGCAGTAAGAACAATGTCTCTATAATGTTCCCCAAACCTTACAGATTAGTAGTTTTATAAGAAATTGTCCATCTGTTGGTAATTGCTCTTGTTCACAAGACTAATTTTATTAATTACCTTACCCAGTATTTCTTGCTAGCAATGAGTATGCTAAAGCTTTAAAATTAGTTTTCTTCTAATTGTTCAGTGATTAGAACTATATTCATGTGTTTTATTCATACTACGTTTAATTCTTAGTAACTTCAGCCAGTTCTATGATCTTGCAAAGAAAAAGGGTTTCAAGGAAACCAAATGTTGTAACAGATGGGTTTGGATTATTTRTTTTCTAATCTTTTACATTACTGATCACTTCCATGTCAGATTGATAACATCAAGTTGCGCAGTTTYATTATATATTTTTCTGTGCTGGAGAAAAATTCCCTTTTTCTCTTCATCTGGATGATGTTTTTGCATCAGTGGTTCATGGTCAAATTAATTTCCTGTCCTTCCTTCCCAAGGCACTTCATCTGCAATGGTTGTCCTGTTTCAGAGATTGCGAATTCCAAGCTCACTCAAAGTCAAAAGGACATTGTATTGGAAGTATCACAAAGTGCCTTTTGCAGGCTGACAAACTACACCCTTTCTAGTGGAGTCATGAAAAGGACTGGAGGCAACTATAATTTTAGTCATTGTTATTCACTTTATGAATAACTGGACAACAAGAAGAGGAATGCATGCATATTTTAGAAATATGCACCTGTTTATGTCAGGTTTCCATTATCACTAATGTATCAAAAACATGAAAATACATTCTAAGATTCATACATTCTTAATACAATACATTCTTAAGCTCATTAGACCGAATATCATAATACCATATTCAAGTAAATTATATTAATCTTTTCCAAAAATGTAGGCATCACTTTTATTAAAAATGATACAGATATGGTGTTCAGCTGGAAAAAAAATGAGACACCAACAACGCTGAAATTCATTTTATATATATATTCAAGAAGGTCCACAGAATTCTCCACACTTTTTTTTTTTTTTTTTTTTTTGTAGCCTGCATTTTCTACAAACTTTTAATTTTTAAACTTGAAAAATGAGACCCCATGTTTCGGAAATTAACCACTCCCTTTACCAAGTCACTAGTGCTTGTGTTCTCCAAAGCAACCTCTCCCATTCTAGCTCTTAAATCTCAGGTCTCAGGCAATGCCCATAAATGAGCATACAAGCAACAACAACAAAAAAAACCCACTTTATTTAGGTTATCTCCACAGGTCCTTGAGATCTTGTGGTTCGTAACTGAGCATCAACACAAGGTATGAAGACCACCGGAGAAGGAGGGACATAGCTCAACTCCCAAGAATGCAATCATCATTTCTTTTAACAGGAAGGCAGAACATGAAGATACACATCATCAAGGCTGAACTCATATCCTTATTCTAGCAATTACCCTAAACTATAAATAATGAGCTGCAGCACCTAGGACTACTTTTGTCACCGAGAAAGCCATCAAGGATTAAGYTGGAAGAAGATTTTGAAATTCAATTAGCAATCCTCCATAATTATGCGCTTTATGTATGTACTTTATGTACTTTAATAACACTTGAGCTTCATATTACAAGTACTTTTCTTTCCTCAAGTTTAGCTTGTATAGTTCTAAAATGAGCAAAAGAAACACTCATTAAGGAAGATCAGAAACACTCATTAAGGAAGATCAAAAAAAAAATAGTACTATACAAATGTTCATTTGTGATTTATTGATTAAATGCCAGTTATTATTCCTACCTATGAAACTTCATTATTAACAGGAGAATTTAGCAATTATCATCAACACTTTGCTACTTTTGAACTTTGGTGCAATATTTTTTCCTAACTCAATTAATTAAGAGAGGTACTCAAGGGTTTCCTGTTAGAATTATATGCACCTTCACACATTCACCAGCCAAAATCCAACAACACAAAAGTGTCACATTTCCATGTAACTTTCCATATTATGATAACAAACCTCCAAATAAACAACATTATTAATATAGGACAGCTAATATATTAATTAGTGCTTGAGTAAAGAGATAATAACATTATTGTGAGCTTCATGTGTAAAGCTAGAGATAGTGTCTCAGTTCTGATTCTCACAATAATGTCAGCTTAAAGGAATCAGCAGGAACCTTGAGACACTTTTCTCCAGAAGAATTTTACAGCTGAAGGAACTAGTGAGGGTGCTATTTCTTATCTTTAACTATAATGATCTAGAAGTAAACCTCACTCAAATTGAGATCAGTGGCAAAACTGCTACTGACTTAATGAAGAGACGGATTTTGCTTGAGTATTCATGTTCGTTCATGATAATACTAGCTACATATGTTTGAAAAACAAAACAGAATGAGAAACATGGTCCTGAATGACTTCACCAATAAAAACAAAACARAACCCTTTTACTTATATATAATAACATCTCTTTCCTAGGATGTCAGTCAATGAAAGGAAATGCACCCTGATTTTTAATAAATAGTCATATACGGTAGATTTTGAAAGAAAAGGTATATGTAACTCAGTGAAAGAGCTGTTCTAAAACATGCAAATTTCACATTGAATGATCTGTGTGATCATTCAAACCTCAGTGAGATACTARAGCAACTAGTGGCCTAAAACCTAGACACCTACAGCTCATTTGTCCAGGAACACARAGAAATTTCAAAGACATATCAATCCATATGACTAAGCTTTAAATCAAAATAGTTGTTGGATTTAATCCATTCAAAATCTTTATCTGGATTCAAATTTTCACCATTAGGCTTATTTGCAGATTCAGTTGACCTCTTACATCTCAATTGAAAACCTAGTATAGAAATGAGGAAAAGGATCTGAAAAAAATCCTCTGTGAGGAAATGTAAAATAATCCAATTACCTACACAATTGTTAGACCATTTCTATGCAGAGGATGGTAACTGTAAGATGGAAAGTAACACTTTATCAACTACTAAGTATCAGCCTCTTCTCAATGACTGCATTCTATAAACACCTTTATCTTRTGCAAATACTAAGCTTAAACTGAATGGCACTTTTATTTGTTTAAATATTTTGATTCAACAAATAAATGAGAACTTCACATTCAAATGGACAGTTGAAATCTCTGTTTCTAAACATGAGTAATGTAATGTTGATAAGTCGAAAACGGATATTCTTCACCTTCCCAAACAATTTAGGTATACTACTACTTTTCATTGTATGTCCAGATTTTCAATTTTGTTGTCTTTTTTATTTCCCTTTTTTTGCTCTCTCCCATCAGCTCCAGACCCTTATGGGATTCTCTCAAGCCTTTCAAGCCTCCAGTCACTCCGAGCTGCTGCCCTCAGGTACTGACATGTAAGTGTCCATAGTAGAATTATCTATAAATACTGGAAAACAGGTGGGCATCAAACAAACAATTTCCTTGCCAAAATAATCTCATGTGGGTCTGCAGCTCTCAAATAGCTGTTTGGGTAGCTTCCTGCCTTCTGGGACTCAACACTTTTCTCATCTACAGCTCTTTTATAGTTCTGCAGCTAGCTATATACTTTTCCTTACTCTTCTTTTCCTTTTTCTTTTTTCCTAAACAGATATCAACTCTACATTCCTATCATCCCCAAAGTCCATATCAGAATCCATGCCAAAGTGATAGTCATTTTCTTTTTCACATTCGCTATCATTGCTTCCATTTCTTCATTTCATCCTACACTTCTTATTGCTGTTGTAGCTGCCCTTTTATTCTCTTTTCTAACTAAAAATTGTCTCAGGCCMAAACCACAGACACATATGTGAGCAACTTCAAACCAATCCTGGGGTCCCTGAAGTCTTAATCCAGATCCAATTTTTGCAGTTTGAGCCATCTCTAATCCCTAATTGCTCCTGTCATCTCTTTCTCACAGCTCTGGCGGTAAGCCACCATGTTTTATGCTGCCTTCTGTGCTTGGAAATAAAGTTACAATGCCCTCCTGTCTCCTCAGTCTTAGAAACATATTTATTTTCTGAATGCTTCCTTCCACTGACTTTTTTGCCTAAAATTTGTATATGAGCTGTTGTCAGCATTTTGGCCATAGAGTATGCTGGCGCTCATGACACGCAGCAAAAGCCACAAGCAGCATGCTGCCTTGTGGTCACTCCCCTAAAGAGAGGACACCTACGTTTTTGTACATGATCCAAGGACTTTGGATCCTCAAAGTACTTTTCCTAATTAATATTTCTTGTAAAATATAAAAACAGCCCTCAGGGTAGGAATTAAAAACTTATGTGAGAATCCAAACCACAAAGCCATAAAGACATATAACTCATGATGCTCTTTTTAGTATACTGAATTTGCACGGAGCTGCAGCTTCAAAAAAACAGAGTAGCCATTGAAACCCAGAATGGTCTTTGGGATCCCCACTAAGGGATGCGAAATATATTTTCTGCTTGAACAGCAAAGAAAGCATTTACACTTAATACTGTGAGCTTTTTCCTAAAAAAAAARAAAAAGGTCTTTCATCACAACATTAAAACCATAACAATGGTGATTTTAATGATTCCAGTATTGGGATTACTTTTTATTCAGGATTCTAATATAATTGTGACTCATACAGACAGAAACTATATTGCAGTAGTTTGCAGGAGATCTCCCAGACAGTGATTTTATAAAACTTAGTCCAGGCTGTAAATGCTGGAAGTTGCATGGACTATAAGCTTACGTGACCAACAAAGCCAGATGTGAATCCTCAGAACACTGACACATCAGCTCAGGAAATGCCAAAGGATAAAGGTTTATAAAAGCTGCATTTGCGAAACAGTCAGTTCTAATGGAGGAATATTCTTATTTTAGTAATAAAATCACTTCTACCAGGGGAAAAGAATCGCTCTATTAAAATATATGTACATGATTCATGTGTTATCTACTGTTTTAAGAGATGTAGGAAGAAGAACTTAGTAAGAAAAGAAAAAAACTCCAAAATAACAACTTAAATAGATTTAAAAGACAATTCAATTATACTGCTGCATCAGACTGTGTTCTTAATGGGGAAAAGTTAAAGTTAAATGTTCAGATTCCCAAAACCTCCAGATATTATTATGTGCAGCTCACTGAAAAACCTCTCAGCATGGCATGACTTAATGGGGGTCTAAAACACAGAAAGCAGTAAAGTTCTGTTAATAGTCTTCTGCTTCAGCAGAACTTACTTACAGACAATATCTAAAGTGGCAAWTTTTTCTGTTTACAGTGAAATAACTTTGCTAATTTTAACTATCTGACATTGGATTAACAACGAAATATGTCAGTGCARAGATAGTCCAATTACTCTCCATCCAAGAGTGCATGAAGAATAGCCGTATCCAACCTTTGGATTTCTAACAAGTGACTATCCCATAGGAGGTGACTGACACCCCAAGACATTATAATGACTTAAGCCATGTAAAGCAAGGAAAGAGTATTCTGGTCTATTGATAGCAAAAGCAGAGATATAAGAATTTTGATAAGAATTCCAGAGGGAAGATGAAGAATCCCATCCCATCCCTGATGAAGAATCCTTGCTCTCTTAGGTAATCATTTGCTTGTATATAATGGTTTGTGTTGGAACCATTCGCTCCCTCCAATACATATACAAATGTACCCAGCCATTAGGAAAAAATACTTTATGGTTAGTTTATAGAAGCATACCTTTCATAAGATCCACAACTGTATTTTTCTATTTTCACTATATTTGAATCATAATGTCTTATATTGGTTCAAAAAATCCAACCAAACAAACAAAAAGAAAAGGATAACCAATCCAAAAAAAAAAAAAAAAAATCAGAAAAATAAGGAAAGCTCATTAAAATTAACTTTTTCTCTTATCTTCTTTTTTCCATTTCTTTTTTTTTGAGTTCTCATGTAAATTAAATTCCAGATGAACTTAATCTTTTTAATAAATCTATTCTCTATTCTCCTCCTAGAAAAGTCAAATAAATTTTACAATGACAAAAGACCGCTGAAGTCACACTTTGATCTAGATGGAAAGCAGAATATCTGATTTCAAGGGTTTGTTTGCTTGTTTGTTTGGTTTAACACTTAATTTTAGTCAAAATTGGAGAAGAACAACAAAGAAATGTGTAGTTTCCCGTATTTTGCTGATGTAAGAGGAGTTGAGTTTTTCGTGAYCTCATCAGCTAATAGCAAATTCTGGGTTTCACTGAACTGTTTCAGAAGGTTACTCTTGCCACATTCTGAACTCTGCCACAGGGCTGGGGCACATGGAGCAGACAGGCTCCTACTGTCAAATCCTTGTGTTCTGAAACTGTCTTTGATCTCAAGACATTTTTAACAAAATGTTTTGAGTTCAGCAAATGAGGAAAACTCATGAGGTATTAGAAGAAGCCAGCCTTTAATTTTGTGTTTACATTTTGGTCCTTTCACAGGATCACAGCTCATTAAATGCACAGAATTCACAATCCCTTAGGTTCCTCAGTGCAAAGAGAAGGAGACAGCAGAGGAGACTGTCACCTGTTCATCCCACATTTTGTTTGTTACATGTCGATACAAGCTGTGAATGAGTCAAGGAATTTCAAAGATGCAAATCTCAGTTTCCTCATTGAAACATTTCATTGAAAAACTGAATACTACCATCTGCCTCTGCGTTCCATGAAAGAGTGGAAGAACTTCACCTAAGTTTTCAAGAGATGTTGAATAATTTTTCTTTCCTCACTTTCCCTCTATTGTTCATTTAAGATACTTAGTTTTCAAGAGAAAAAKGAAAACAAAACTATGAAACAGAGTGCTCATATCTATAACTGCAGTTAGCTCCTGCTCCTAGTGCCTGCTGGATTTGAAATGTATAACATGGTAATAGAAATGGTAAATAATCTAAAAAATCTGACCTACAATTCTGTCCAAAGTGGCCGTCCAATGCCTGTATATCTTGATACCATTTTGTTACAGTTCCCCAACTGGGGGATGACATGCGGACAGTTCAATGGGGACAGCAAAWGCCACCATCTTGCAGTTGTGGTATGAAATAAACTAATTGCTTGTGTCCAGATTTTGGAAAGGAAAAGGAAGTAATAAATTTTGCTTGAACTCACCACACGTTTTAATTGCACAGAACTCCCAGGGGGTGTTAGGGTCAAGAGTGTAGCACCATGGTCTCAGCTTGCCATCAGGATTGCGGCAGTAATTATCATCAAAGCCCTTGTCAGGATATCTGCAAACCACAGCAAGAAACGTGTCAGGCAAGTCTTCCTGGCAATACTACACAGGCGCGTACAAGGTATGCAAAGGACAGTCTTCAGCGGCAGCAAATGAGAACCAGCTCCTCTTAAACCTGTGGTCTGATCCTGAGATATGGATTCCGACACCCTTGAATGCCATAGAAAGTTACTGACATAAAATCTCCTTGCCAGCTTGCAGCAGAATCAGGCCTCCACAGAGGGGATCCCCTGCTGTGTTAATGCACAGGCCACCGGATGSGGTAACTCTGCTAATTGCTAAACTCTTGCTCTCGTGTCTGTCAACTGATGGCCAGACTCTAAAGCCACTCATTTTTTTCAAACAGCCCAATTAAGTGTGCATTATATAAACACTGCCAGGCAGCTGGACTCATTAAGAAAACAGGTTCTTTCGTGCAACAGGCCTGGGTTCAAACTGGAAGCTGTTTTGAATAGCTTTGTTACTAATGATAGCTCCATTTTCATAATAGAACTCATTCTAGGTCATGCCCTCATTTCCAGCATTGGGGGAGCGAAAAGAAAAAAGGAAAAAAAAAAAAAAAAAAAGCCTTCAGTCTCCCTTTATCTCATCAAGGTTTGAAACTGTTGTGCCATTTAATTGTTTCCACGTTCCTACTGCCGTTACTGGGCAGTTCAAGGTAAGGATGCTCTTTTGGTCTAAATGAGCCATGTGAACAACTGAAAACTTGAAGAGTAGAAGATAAATGCATTTTACTTTTCTCTCGATGAATACAAATTGAACTGGTTTTTCATTTTTATCAAAACTTGTTTGGAAAAGAAAGAAAGAAAGAAACAAAAAGATTTACCCAGGGGAAACAAAAATTACATAAGAGAACAAAGTTAACTACCTAGGAACCCAAACTAATTTACAACTGCAAGCAGATGTGTTTCTCATAAACAGAAGAAAATATGATTTAAAACCATGTGTTTTTTCTAGGATGCTTTTTAAATCACACATTCATCTCGAAGTCTATCACATATTTGGAATTTGATCTCCCATTGCTTGAGAAAAATGAAGCTCCTTCACTGTATATGAGGAATTGGAATAGTAATAAAGTAAAATTCAAAAGAAACCCAAGGAGAAACCTCACAAAAATAAGAATTCAAAGGCAGTTAATAATGAAATCTAGAAGCTCTCGCAACAGCATTTCTCTTTTACAATTTCTTCTATAACCTTGCTTTCTGCTAGGTATGAGGGAAACTGTGAAGGATCATATTGTCTGCAAGAATTCCCCAAGCAAATATTTTGTAGAGTAACAATGCAGCAGAAAATGAGGTGGTTTGGACAGAAATTGGCGGTGATGGGCTTTCAAGACAGCAATACAGCAGTGCCACAACATGTAGCACTAGAGAATCCGTAGCACTGTCTACCAACCAAGGAGAACCCACAAATGGTTGGGTCTGTGCAGTGGTATCTATCATATTATGGGATATGAAAATAATTCACTTTCTAGAAGCCAAATATTCAGCATAGTACAGAAATCATTCTTATCATTTTATATAAGTATGAATTCTACTAAATTGCATTAGTTACTAGCTGAAATGTAAGCATATGCTTGAGGATCAAGCTTTGACCTTCACTAAGTGAAGTAGCATCCATGAACTCTGTCTTTACCAGCTGTTATATCTATGAATCCTTTAAGAGATTCAGCATGAATAACAAATTAGTGAAAGGCTGGAATGGTTCAAGGTTCAAATCTGATATGAATGTTCTAAGTTCAGGCAGGGTATATAGAGATAGAAGCCCCTTTGGAAGCTTCCCATTGTGTGCAAGCAGAACTGTAGCCACTCAGTATAGAAAAGGCCCGGCAATTTTAAAGCCACACATATTAGGGATAAAATGAGACTTCAAACTGCTCTCACCATTGAGAATGGGGAGGACTCTCTCTGTTTGCTCTGAATATTCCTCCCTGTCAATAAATCAGGCCCAAATCTTGTCTCTGAAGCCAACAAAGACTCCTCAGTTACCAAGACCTTTCATACCTCTACATATTTATTTTTTTTCTGTTATTTTTTCTCTCCTTGAAACTGCAACATCTGTACTCGCAGAAGTTGAAATGAATCATAAAGGTATACATCACAAGGAAGCTGAAATGAATCATACAAGGTGTCAAAATCAAGAGTTTTTGTGGGTTTTTTTTCTGCTTCTAGCGGAAAAGAAAAAAGAAAAGAAGAGACAAAGAGATAACATTCTCTTTAATGAGATAGACATTGATCTCTAGCTCTATTGGAACTATGCTGAAATTCAGTGTCTAAAATTCATATGTCACAAATACTTCTTGTTCCCCTCCTTTTTGTTCTAAAAGATATTCAGGACTGCAAATCTGCTTTTACATATTTTTTAATATCTCTTAAATTAAAAAAAAAATGAGTATTTTAATTAAAAGATACCTACAGGTATTAAACCACTGCACTACAGTTCATCCTTTTTTCTTTTTTTTTTTTTTTTTTCCCTCCAAGCAATAAAAGCCACAATGTGCTTGATTTTGAGTAGAAAATATAAGTGGGATGAGAGAGAACTGTTATTCTCTATGCCTTCCATGAATCTCTAAGCCTTTCTCAGTGGTCTTCCTCCCACACCTGTGCAAAATCATGACTGTGAAGAAGACGCTATGGAATCAGAGCTTCAATTCTGCATCCAGTAATAACTGAAAACCCATCAGAGTTGTCATTTTGGGAGGGTCCTACCATTAGCTCTAGTCACATCTAAGTAAACAGAAATTCTCTATTTTCTTCAGTAATTGTCCTCTGAAGGGAAGAAATCTGGAACATTCCCTCAGATGGGAAGGTATATTCACCCTGGCCTAAAATTATTCACAGAATCACAAAATATATATAGCTGAGGTTGGAAAAGACCTCTGGAGATCCAGAGGTATTGTCCAACAGCAGGTAGCTTGTTGAGCTCTTGGAAAAGATTAGTGGTTTTACCTCTTCCTCCATCACAACAATGAATGAATCCATTAATGCAAATAGAGTTAAATCTATCCAGCTGTGCTAATCCTTCCTGGTTTCCAAGCATTTCACATTACCACTTGATAATATAGAGAGCCCGTATTTATAAGTCTCCGCAGAGATTGTTGTACTTTAATGGATCATTTGTTCCAGACCTCTTATTTACAACTTAAAAAAAAAAAAAAAAAAAAAAAAAAAAAAAAAAAAAAAAAAAAAAAAAAAACAGCTAATGTAATCAAAGTATAATTGCCCTACCTTTGGTGAAGTTTTTTTTTTTTGATGAAGTTAATTAAGACCAGTCTATTAGACATATCCTCACAACCAGTTACATTCCCAAAAACATGCACAGATCAATTTAATCTGTATGGGTTGCTTCTGGCTGTTTAATAAAAAGGGTATTTTTAAGTCTCAGAACTCTCAAGAACAAATTTTTGAATGAATTTTTAAGAAGATGATCATTACTGAGACTTCAACTAGCCCCAAAAATCATTTTCTGAACAAACCAAAAGAAAAAAATGATTTTTCTTATTGACAGTAAAATGATTGCTAATTGTACTCAAAAGCTTTATAATTGTTTAATTCTTAAGGAACAAAATTCTTTTTGTGAGTTATTCTAGACTGTACATCAACTCTATGACAAAGCTCAGAAACAGATTGTCTTCAGCCTCAGTCTTGCTGTTAGGAAATATTTATTGTAGCAAAACTATGGAAGAGCCTGCTCTTCTTCATGGAGTACATCATATGAGTCAAAGAGGAAAAACATATCACACAAACTCCAAAATTACAGATCCTTAATATTTTGCTTAATAATCAAGCTTTCTAAAATCTATAAATATTGTACTTCTGGGTATAAAAATGAGGATTTTAGTAGAGTACTTCAAAAATTATAAACTTATTTTCATGGAAAGTACATAATTATCCTGCAATTAATGATTTTTGCTGTCCTTCTCTGAGGCACCTTATTCCATCAATTTCATAAATGGAACTAATCCAAAACACAGACCTTAAACCAAAATGAATCCTTAGTCCAGCTTAAGAGAGACAAAAGTCCCTCCTGTGTGGCCTAAACCCACATACATAAGCCTTCCAGAAGGGAGTGTTATAGATGACCTTACACAGTCAAGTGAATTTTACCCTCCAGGGCAAATTCTAAATTGCAATTGCAATTTGCTATTTCTGACTCATTTTCTGACATTATACACCTATGTTCAAAAATAAAAAGAAGAAGTAAACTAAGTCCTAAATCCATATCCTGCTAAACTTAACTTAGTTTTTTTTCTAGGTTGCAAAAAGAAGAAAAKAAAAGGCAAAGATATTTTTAACATTTTGGGCAAACAGACTGGATGCTTAAACATGATTGCAACAGACCAGCTACAGCTTTAAAGCTATTCTCTCTGCTAGAAATGTACACACTTTGACTTGTTAATGTTGCAAGTTTAATCTCACTGAATTTGTTAAGAACATGTTAATGTCAAATGGACAACTTTTAATTGCTATTTATCATTATAGAGGTATTTTAAGCTGACTGAAGCTATACAACAACATATCCAGAAACACTCAGAGGTGATAGTGCTAGGGAGGAAATTTTGATCAATTAATGCAGCACATGGACTTGATAGTGGAGCACAGCTATGTGATGCAGTCACAGCTGTACTGTCCCCAAAACCTGTCCCTCATCCCAGCCTGCATGCACCAGGGACTTTCTCAAACAACCAAAATTGGTGGACTCCATTAATTTAGACTGAGCTAATGCTCGTTTAGCCTAACTGGTTTCAGTATATGTGTAATTTTGACATGATCTAGATTTGTTTGGGAATGAGGAGGGATTACCTCTCTGGACGAAATTTGTGCTTGTGTGGCCTCTGGAGATCCCAGCGCTGACACTCCTTGCCCGACTCAGTGTGGTCCATTGGTCCTCTGTAACTTTCTCCATTGCAGGTCATGCATTCAACTAGGGGAGACAGAGAGCAATATTAATCATTTATATGACTGGTGACTCCCAGACCAAAAGAAACTTATGTTGTAAATTGAAAACAATCTAGGGAGTTATTAAAAAATAACAAGCAAATAAAATTGCTGTCTTTCAAATCAGGGTTCCTTGGGTTGGGAAATGACCAATGACCTTTGACATACAACTGAATCTCTTTCTTAAACCTAAACTAGAACCTTAAATCTGTAGCCCTATATGGGACATTTATGGTTTGGAAGCAGCTAGGTGTAAGCTGCATTTTATCTTACCTATAGTAGTGGTTTGCTTGAGTTCTGGTGCTAATCTCTGATGGGAGGCCCTACCAAGCAGAGAGCATTGCTGTTAATCGATGTTATTATACAGACACATATCCGAGGATTTCTGTTTGTTTGTTTGTTTGTTTGTTTGTTTGTTAGGTGTTACTTTCTAGTTAAAGAGTATTTATAATTCTAAATCATAGAGATTTGTAAAATGGCAGGAAAAGTTTAAGTCCAAAATAATGGTTGCATCATTCAGAGAAGTACAGTCTGCCTCTTTAAGTTCTCAACATTTTCAGCTACATATGATGCTGTTTGTTTTCAAAACTAATTGTTTTTGGCAGCTTAAAATGATGATAAATTTTCAGTCTTGGTTTTAGAAAGTGGAGGTTGGGGGAAGGTGGCCAGAAGCTACTGAAATTGATTAGAAATCAATTGTTGTGCAAAATGTGCTATATAATTTAAGATGAGAGATCTCAAAATCTGAAATGAATTCTCTATAATTAACTGTAGACAAATTTCTCGAGTGCCATTCCCCAATTAAGATAATTGCAATTAAATATCACTTAGAAAATTCTAAGTTATGCAATTACTAAGCTCTGYCTTCAGTCAAAACATCCTCCAAGAAAGTCTTGATCCTGCAGTGAACTCTTAGGTTTATCCCATTTGGAACTCAGTTAAATTGATCTTTAAGTACTATCTTTTAATAGTTTTCTCAGCTCCCTCTAAATTTTTCATTTTCTCCCTCCTTCCATTTCCTTTTCCCACCACCACACAGCTATTACACACAACACATGAGCTGGAAAATTAGAGACTTCCAATCCTGAGAATTAAATGAGTTGATTGACTGGAAATGAATTGGCTGATTAGCAAGATATAGACTCATAATTTTGAGTTTAACAGGAAATACAATTTCCTTATTTAAAGTATACATTTGAAAGACAAAGCACATGTTTAGTATGAGCACTTGGCCTCTACTTCAGTATGAATATTTTCATGAAAACGATGAAAAACTGATTTTACTACAGCACAACAAAAGATCTTATGCAGTAGCAATATAGGACTGATTAGCAAATTCTCTGCGGGACAGACAGTGCAGAAATGTGTTTTTGCAGTTTTCCAGATCTATTAGAATATATAAAATTATCTTCTCTAACAGCTTTACTTTTCCTGCAAAATGCATCATTCTTGTGGAGAAATGACCTGCCCCTTGCTTCAAAGCACATAGGCGAGTGTCACTACCACTGAGAAAACTTTCCTGTCCCTGCATTTGGTACCCGGGTTTGGGACACRAGCCTTGTGTTTTACCTGCCGAGCAGAGGGGGATGTCGCAGACTTCATGGCGCATCTCAGGGCTGGTAGTGAAGCACCAGGGCCCTCCCTCTTCCCCTCGGGGATTTCGGCAGTAGTTTTCCCTCAGGTCTTTACCCCGATAGCTCGAAGGTAAAAAGCTAGTTTTAAAATGACAATCATTACAGTATAAGAGCATGCAAGTTTCAATGTTAATCATAGTATCTTCACAAACAGAAAAAATCCCATTTCTGCTCACTTCTCCCTCCACCCTGCCCACCCAAAAGCACACACCCAAATATCTGTTCGGACACAAATACACATCTCCAGTCAGGATTGCTCAACCGATGGGCAAAGCCTGGCACAATGTGTCTGGCCCATAGCTTGCGCTAGCAACTTTTGCTCCGTCCCTTGGGCACCGGCAACGAGCGATGGCCTGCGGAGCACTCTCTTTTTCTTTAGGGATTGAATAGAAATATGATACTATGTTTTTGGCCTGTAATGCATTTTCACTATGATATTTTGGTGTCTATGCCTAGATCATCAAATATGAACACTCCAGGGTTTTGTAGCTAACTCTGTTCTATCCATTCTAAGGAGCCTAATCCCAGAGCTCGCTCACTTTTTTCCCCTGCTTCAAGAAACACAGTCAGTCACAGACGTACTCAGTGTCACATCACCAGAAATCTCACTGCAGTGATGCTGAAACTAAGTCTCTATAGTGGAAAAACATATTAAATTCAGCATTATGTTCAGTTCTATGAAGAATTTTTTGAGGGATAGGCTATCTGAAAAGCAGAGGGAAACTCATAAGGATGATGTGAAACTTGCAACATATCTTAATAATTTCATTTTAAACATTTTTTTTTTCATTTTTGAATAAAAGCATACACATTTTATCGTGAAAATGTCCATTATTTTRTTTTAGATTTCCCTTTTTTTTTAATCTTCAAAGCAATTCAACACATCTATATTCTGGTGAAGAAAAAGGCTAAAGTTTCACCCAACTTCCTTTTAGAAGAAGGCATACATTTTTAGCTTAGGAAACTGAACTAAGCACTTGGAATGGTCTTTATACACAAGCACTGATATAATTTATATCCAAAACCACAAGGGACATGTATGGTTTCTGCTCTCCTTGGCAAGCACTATGTTATGAATGAATGTAAAAGAAAAGAAAATTCCTACATGTGACATTCTGATCATGTTTTATTTCATTTAATGAAATCTTTGAACTAACTGAAGTGGAAAATACCTCTGTTAATCACATGGTGGTTCTAGTTTAGGCAATGTGGAAGCAGTACTTGAAAGTGATTTTTCTTATTTTTGGTCCTTGAAGAGAATCGCTCTTTTCTGTCACTACTACTGCCCATGAAATTTTTGCTTCTGTTTCACCTCTGTAGTCTTAAAATACAAATTTCTCAAAATATTTTAGCTACACGCAGCTGGACAAACTTTTCTGATGGGGCATTATAACTTGTATATTTGGTAATGTGGTATGCCATTGAATGTTAGAAAATCTTATTTTCCTTCTGGAAAATCTTTTTACTCAGAAATGATGATTGTCAGAAAACATAGGAAAAAGTGATCTCAGATGACCTTAGATATGCTGTCCGAACACAGAAAAAAGTAAGAAGGCTCCCTTAATAAATAATATGTGAGACTCAAGATAGATCAGATATATAAATGTCTTCAACAGCTACTGAAGCTACAGTTTTGGGAAAGGAAAAGATGAGACACAGAAAAGACCCACTCAGAAATGAAAACAAAACAAAACAAAACAAAACAAACAAAAAACCCACTAGTGCACTAGTTTAGTTCAACTGTATTAGCTAAGGAAAGAAGAAAGATAGAAATTCATGCCAGTAAGAATAATGGCAAAAGCAGATTCAACCACAGCAAAACTCTTTATTTGACCTTTCTATATTGGCTTTAGCCATTTAGATAATAAAGTCTGAAACAATGAATCTTGTAATATAAGTAACTATCTAGGATCAGTGACTGAAAAATGGAGTCCCGAGTTAATCTGGGAGTCTCCTGGTTGTACTGAAATACAAATTCATTTAAAAATATAATTTGCTAAATACAAAGAGAAATTTAAAGTCTGAAATTATGTCTAATTTTGCAGGCAAGATTGTGAAAAAAAAAACGGTAAAATACATTTATTCCTAGAATATGAAAAAAAAAAGGATTTATTTTCCAAGCAGTATTCACGGATAATCAGATGTTGAGAATAAMTGACCTAAAAATATAAGCCTTTCATTCTAATAAGTTCCAAACTCACCACTACTGTTTGCTTCTTCCCATTTCCCTCATGTCTCTGATGATGAAATCATTTTTTTCTGATGTTGAAAAACAAAATTAGCATGCAGCCACCTCATTTATCCAGTGACCTTTTAAAAATTAAGCTTATTGCACAAGGCAGGAGAAAAGTCATTCTCATAAAATTCATCATAGGAGAGTGGCTGTCCAAATTTATTAGATAAAGCTGTGCATGCTATATTTTAAAAATGCAATATAGTGATACATATATTCTCATATACATCTTTCTCTTAATTTATAGAAGCATTTATATATCTATTATATAAAATCAAAAATGCATTCCTGGGTAGACAGTAATTACTGAGAATTCTTTCACTTATGAAGGATGAACAGTGTATAACTCTTCAAGGTTCAGAGACTCAGGAGGCCACTGCAGTGTGGGCTGACCACATTTAGCGTATGTTCACAGTTAAGCCTGGGTCTGTTCGCACACTGAAAAACAAACTCACTACCGTGTGTATTATGAGCCATCAAGCCCACATTTTGGGCTGCCTGAGGCTCAGCTCTGTATCATACATCATACAAAGAGAGAACCCAAGTGTCCTTTGCCCCTTTAATCTTATTTCAAGTTGTTTCATCTTGTCCTCTGGCTAGACTGGGTCTGGACAAGCCTGAGCAGGGTATAGACCAGTTCCTTACTGGCGATTTCCAGCTTGGCCCCTTCTACCCAAGTGTTGATGCTACGAGTTGAATAAAAGTCAGCAGCAAGGACAAGGCCTCCGCTTGTGAAGGAGAGGACTCACAAGACTCCTCCGGAATCCCTCTGCAGCACAGATATAGTCTGAGTTCCTCTCTATGTCAGGCCTTGACCTTAAAAGTCATGCCACAACTGCTCTGTCTCCCCTGATTGATCTGGAGGGAAGGATTTAATTCATCTGCTAGTTTCTTCTCTGTACTTGCCACCTATTCAAAGTGCTTTACTAAGGCTGAAATATGCCATGAATGTGTGCAAATGAATATACAAATTATAGTAACAAAATCATATATGAATTAAATAGGTGAATTAAACATGAATTAAATGCAACCTATATTGCATTTTTTAAAAGGACACATTTCTGAGAAGACAGTTTTTAGAAAACTGTAATAGCTTTCCATTCCTTAAGCTGAAGTAGTGCAGCTGTTTCGCCCCAGCCAGGAGCCAAGAGATCAAAAGGATATAAACAGGGGGAAAAAAACAACAAGAACAAAAATGGAAAGGAATGAATGCAGACATGACCTGGAGAATGGTAGCTCTTGGGGAAATGCAAAATTGCACCGAAGAGATATTGTTGTTTGAGGTCAAYTTTCTCATAAATTCTTTTTCTACTTTGTCTTTGTCTGCTTTGTCTGCTGTCAAAGTGCAGTCTGTGAGAGCCATCGCAACACCGGGTAGGGTTGTCTCTGCACCCGAACGCCTACCTGTGCTCATGGGGGATCATGGAATTCCAGGCCTGACACTGGATCCCGCTTTTYGTAACAGATATTGTCCCTTTGTAGTTTGCGCCTTTTCCGATGATACAATTCCTRACATAGTCTGTAGAAAGAAAAGGGGCAAAAATTAGGAGTTTGGCTAAATATTACTTCAATTTGTCTATCTCATCTACAGTCTTTAAATAATAGGAAAAAAACACCTTCTGATAGTATTTACAGATATCATCATTCAAAATACTGTTTCATTTTCCACGTGGATTCTTGTTTCTTAAAAACAAAACAGAGTAACTTAGCCTAAAAAGCTACAGAAAACACRAAGAATTACTAGAAGTCCAAGATCAAGAACTTGATTCATAAATACTTTTTGAGTTAGATAAAAACAGTATTAAGTCAATACCACAAAGTCATATGACTGAGCTTTTAGATATTAAAATGAAGTAGCAATTCAGACTAGTACAAGTGATGAGAGGAAGGTTGAAAAAATGAATCAAGCTAAATATATAGACCAGCATTGTGCTCATATGACAGCTAAGATAAAAGATATTTGTAAACAGAACTGTAAGACGGAGCCTTTGGAGAGTATTAAACATCCTACACCCAGGATGCATCTGCCCTATAAAAGTCATTGACTGACCTCAGCTATTTTTCCCTCCATGCCTGGAAAAACAAAATCAGTAAATAAATCAGTTACCCTTCTTTTCATAGAGATCAAACGCATGGTCTTGCTTCTTTCTCACACCATTTGTCAAACTGGTGAAGGACAACCAATGGCATCGTTTTGTAACTCTGTCATAAGCAAAGGCCCTGCAAAGAAAATCTAGATGAGAAATAAAGTCTCTGTGTGGTTTATAATAATGACACATGGCTTGCCAGGGAGCATGCAATGACATCAGATTTATTTTTACTGGGAAAGTCAGAGAAACAGCCCAAATTAGTATTTAAACCCACAACTGTGCTGACAAGAACAAAGAAACAAAGAAATTAAATTGATGTGGCCATTACACATATTACACATTAAATGCCAGCTTGGTTGTTCACACTAATCTAAGAGTTCCCTTGTCATTAAATGTCTCTATTTTAAAAGTGAGATAAATATGACTGAGATAGAATTTTTTCCCAGTTCAGTTGTTTTTGGACATAAAAAAAAAAAAAAAAAAAAGAAAAAGAAAAAGGATCTTCTTTGTTGTGCTTCTTTGCTTTCCTGTGAAAGAGTTAATTACCTCACTGATAGAGGAAAAGCACAATGAATTTGTGCTTTCCTAGAATAACACAGCTATTTGAAAGCAAGACTATTTTTATTTCACAAATAGTCTAAACTGTGATAGTGTACCTACAGCTTGTCCTTGCCATGCTTTTGTTTTCTTTTCTCTCTCATTTTTAACTGCTTTCAAGGATGGAGTACAACGTGTGCTGGATTCTTTTTTTTYCTTTGTGGGAAGGATGGAGTGAGAGAAAGATAAACAGAAATTGGAAAAGTAAAAACATTTTATTTCACTATTTTGCGTGAAATGTGTAGATTTTTTTTTTGCCATAGTTATATTTTGAAAAGAATATTTTTAAATGTATATAGAATATTTTAAAGGATTTAAAAAACACAGAATTAAAGTAGTTTTTTTCCACACCAAATGCTTTGCTGGATTGCAAAGTCCAGCAAACTAAGGGTGGAGAGACAAGGAGGTCAGGCAGCTATTCCTGTAAGAATAAAAAAGCAAAATAATAAACAACATAAGAGTTCATTTTCTCCTTTTTTTTTTTTTCCAGGGGAACCAAGCAATACATTATCCACACGAAACTATCACCTTTACCCTACCATGAAGTCTGTCCTCAGCCATCCATCATCCCAAATGTTCTCAGCTGCTCTGTTCTAGCCTACGAAGGCATTTTAAAACTGCTTACTAATATCCAAAGGACACACAGGTTTCCTACGCTAAATCCAAATTTTTGGCACCGACACATTACTAGCTAAACAACTCTGCATCTCCAACACAAAGCTCTTTGGTTTCCATTTAATCCCCCTCTAACCACACAAGTTTTCTGTGTAAGATCTTGCTGGCTTCAGTTAAAAATATTACAAGATCCAATCCAACCTCCCCACTTGTCTCTCTCTTTCAAACATCCTCTTCATTATCTTTTCCATCACCAAACAGATTTTTCATCCAACTGCTCTCTCTACTCTGTTGACTCCAAATGTTTCCAACCTGCTAACCTTCATCCTTCTGCCTTTGTTCAGCCTTCTGTTCTCCGCTGGCTACTTCTCAAAATGTGAGTGTATCCAAGTCTCTCCAACTCCATCTTCACAAAAATATCCTTGACCTTTCCTGCCTTTCCAATTGCATTCTCTTTTCCCTTCCTCCTCCTAAAGTGGGAATGCAGAATACACTGTTTACAAACATTTCTTTTAGTTTTTGCCTTTCAGTTGCCTCTTGGTTTCCTTCCAGCTTGGCTTCAGTCACTTCTCTACATAAAAGTTTCTAACAATCTTTTCTTGGACACAAATCCAGAGGGTTTTTACACATCCAAAGTCAACATATTTAAGCAAATTCTTGGACTTTTTTCTACTGATACTGCCGATCACAACATTTTTTGTTGTTGCTATTTGTACTCAGATAGTCGGTAGATTTTCTGATCTGATATTGGAATCCCATGGTGAATACTGGAATTCCATTCTAAACACATATACAGTAAAAGGCATTCCAGAGAGCAAGGAAATATCAGGGAATAAGAAGACAAGCAGAATTTTGTAGGTAAGGAAGTGACATGTCTACAGCAGTCATCTGGATAGCCAGTAAAATAGGAGTGTCCTTTTTTCTCCCCCATTAGAAAATGCATCCTATGCAACACGTTCTGTGTGTCCCTGCTTGAGCAGGGGAGTTGGACTAGATGATCTCCAGAAGTCCCTTCTTACCTCAACCATTCTGGGATCCTGAGAAAATGTAGGGAAAAGCTGTAAGGATGACTGAGGGAAAACAGTGGGAATTATGGACTGTGCTGATAAGAAGGAACAGGAATAGCTTGGCAGCTATTCAATAAACTGATCAGGAGGGCAGAAAATGATGAACAAGTAGTCATGAAGGCAAAAAGACATAGTAAATTAATCTAAGGGAGATTTTGATGGGGAGATTTTAGGAATAATGTTATGAGGGAAAAGTTGGTCTAGATAAGAATATTGTAACACACATTTGAGATGAACAAGATGTGTGAAAATTGATAATAAGGGAAAAGAAGAAAAGCCAGCTCTGAAAAATGGCATATCTTAAAAACAGCAAGGATTAATGATTACAAAACATAAACCACATAATCCACATACATCATTTATATTCAAGCATGAGAGAAAAAGAAGATAAATAAATCAAAAGTTGTCTGACTCCTTTTTTTTTTTCTTCTTTTTTTTTTTTTTCTCCTAGAAGATGAGGGGAGACTAATCATATGTAGGCCTGCAGTTCCAGAGATCTGCCATTTTCTGCAAGGGAAAGAGACCCATCAAGGCTCAACCTCTTGGTTCCTGCTTGAGTGGCTTGCAGGGCACAGACCTGGTTGTTGCTGCTCTCATCACTATTGTCAAAACTGTATTATAGTATATTTTATTTTGATAATAATACTTAGGTAAACTGAGTTTGAATCCAGAGAATGGAAGAAAACTCCAGTTCTATAATTCAAGAGAAATATTGTGTGGTTAAGGACATCATAATCAAGCCATGAATATTTCCATGAACAAAGGCAAAATCTATTCATATATTTCAAATATGTAAAATGTTGTCTTACGTCACTTCCTTTCTTACTTTACTTTGTACCCATATCAAACAACAAATTAGCTGGTTTTAATCCATATTGGCAAAAACTATCACCCTGCAGAAATCATAAACTGGTATGAAGTTAAAGACTGGATATCCTAATAGTAAAGGGGAAACATCAGGGAACACRTCAAATATATGTTTACAGTAGCATCAAAGAGCTACACATGTTGCAAGAGAATTCATTTGAGGCCAAACGGGAAAMCACAAGAATTCCCCCTGATGCAGAAGACCTCTCCTGTTCTGCTGCATAATGACAGCTCAGGCTAGAATAAATCCCCTACACTCTCCTGCCAGCCTTTCTCTTTAAAAAAATGTAGAGAGAACCATGAAATTCAGAGCATTAGCAGTCAGACTTGGAATTCTTTTCTGTCTCCAATGCAGAACAGTTAAAAGATTCTCCCCAAAGTTTTAAGATTCTCCCAAACTCTGTTCTCAGATTCCTTCATGGCTCCTCTGTATTATTTTATTGATTGATTATGGCAGAGAGAGTTTTCCACTTAATGAACAGTTACTGTCTCAACAGAAAAAATGAAATAAGAAAATAGCAAAATAAAAAAAAAAATTAAAAAAAGATTTTCTGTGTTATTATTTAGGTAGAGAGAAATCAATGAATATATTAACCTACTAACATTGTAACATATAACATATTAACCTAAACTAAGCAAGAAGGGAGAATGGGAGTGTTACATGGATGGGACAATCAGCGCGATGCAGGCAAAGTCAGAAGGTATCCAGGGGGAGCATGGAAATGGGGAAATGAATGTAAGATATGACTATAGAGTCTTCTCTTTCATCCCTCCTGGGAAATTCATAGGCTTGATTACTTCCCTGAAATACCTGTACACCAATGCATGCGGCATGGGGAATAAACAGAACATGGAGATCTGTGTGTGGTCCTAGGGTCATGATCTTCTTTCAATTACAGAAACATGTCATGCTAGTCTTCAAAAATGTCAAGAGGGAGGACCCAGGCAACTACAGGACAGCCATCCTCACTTCCATCCCTGGAAAAGGGATGAAACAGCTCATCCTGGCTGTTACCTCCAAGCATGAGGAGGACAAGAAGTTGCTCAGGAGTAGTCAGCATGGATTTACCAAGGGGAAATGCTTGACTAACTGATAGCCTTCTATGATGGAATGATTGGCTGGGTAGAGGAAGGGAAAATGGTGGATGTCATCTATCTCAACTTCAGGAAGGATTTTGACGCTGTCCCTCACAATATTCTCCTGGGCAAGTTCTGGAAGTGTGGGTTAGATGAGTGAACATTGAGGTGCATTGATAACTGGTGCATTGGCAGAGCTCAGAGGGTTGTGATCACTGGCGCAGATTCCAGTTGGAGGCCTGTTTTTAGCGGTGTCCCCCAGGGGTCAGTACTCGGTCCAGTCCTGTTCAATTTATTCATGAAATAACCTGGATGAAGGGACAGAGCGCGCCCTCAGCAAGTTTGCTGATGATACCAAACTGGGAGGAGTAGCTGATACCCCAGAAGGCTGCACTGCCATCCACAGGGATCTGGACAAACTGGCCGAATGGGCAGTGAGAAACCTCATGAAGTTCAACAGGGGCAAGTGCAGGGTCCTGCAGCTGGGTAGGAATAATCCCAGACACCAGTACAGGCTGGGGACTGACCCTATGGAGAGCAGCTCTGCAGAGAAGGACTTGAGCATCATGGTGGACAACAAGTTGACCATGAGGCAGTAGTGTGCCCTAGTGGCCAAGAAGGCCAATGGGATCATGATGTGCATTAAGAAAAGCATCTCCAGCAGGTCAAGGTAGGTGATCGTCCCCCTATACACAGCCCTGGTGAGGCCATATCTGGAGCACTGGGTCCAGTTCTGGGCTCCCCAGTACAAGAGGGATGTGGAGATCCTGGAGAGAGTCCAGCGCAGGGCTACCAGGATGAKCAGGGGCCTGGAACATCTGCCCTATGAGCAAAGGCTGAGAGAGCTGGGCCTGTTCAGCCTGAAGAAGCTGAGGGGAGATCTGATCTGTGTAAATAAATATCTTAAGGGAGGAATTTAGGATGATGGAGCTAGCCACTTTTCAGTGGTGGCCACCGATAGGACGAGAGGAAACGGGCACAAACTGAAGCATCAAGAGTTCCACAGCAACTTATGGAAAAAATTCTTAACAGTGAGGGTGACAGAGCACTGGAACAGGCTGCCCAGAGAGGTTGTGGAATCTGCTTCTATGGAGATCTTCAAGACCCGCTTGGACGCAATTCTGTGTCACATGCTCTAGGTGACCCTGCGTGTGCAGTGGGGTTGGACCAGATGATCTCTAAAGGTCCCTTCCAACTTTAACGATTCTATGATTCTATGATACTTTTTATGTTCAGAACATATAATATATCAGCCAGAGCAGCTACAATAGAAGAGACTTGAAACTATTTTCTTAAGCAGATGTTGGAATTCAGAACTGTTGTATGCTTGGCATCATTCACAATTTTTCTTTTTATCTTGTGAAACCTTATTTAATAATACTGCTCACTGCTGACCACCAGAGCTCATGGATCTTTTTCTGTATTGGGAACAACCTGATCCCCTTGGCAATGATGTCAGGGAAAGTTCTGCCAATAGGATGAGAAGTCATCCCCTACTCACTTGCCATGTGAAAAATATTAGTGCCTGGAAAATATTTCTAACAGTAACAAGTAAACTCTGCTTATTATTTACACATGTAAATATGTAGTCAAGGTAAAATGAAAAATTAGGTAACACAATACTGGAATTAAAGGCTTAAAGACAGAGGATCTGGAGGATCTTCTTTGCCTAGGAAGAGTTTTGTTATAACATTTAATCTAGCTTCCCTTTGCAGTGAGTGGCAAAATTTTTATGTATTTCAAGATCAGGCTCACATTTCACACAGTACTCACAAGTACAGAAGCAAAGATCCTCCTGCATTCATGTCCTTTCAGTTTTTGCTAATGGTACAGACTGAGAGGCCAGAGGGCTAATTCCAGTCTAGTACATCGGAAAAATAATAGCAGTTTGTTCCAAAAAAATACTAGAGAATATGTACTGGGCAGACAAGCAATCAGCTGCATGATGTGTTCGTAAGAGACAGCAGATGCTGAAGAACTGCTATCGTATATTTGCAATGATTGTGTAGCCCAAAAGGTTTGATTCCATTGTATCACATTTGCAGGACTTGGCAGTGAAACTCAGCCGTGCTTATATCTGTATTCCATGTGTGAAATTCCCACCGATTTCAGTGGGAGTAATGTGCAAAGCATGAAGACAGAATATGGCCTGAAGTGGTGCTGAAATACTGCAGCTGTGATATGTAACAATAACCATTTATAAGAGATATAAAAATCTCAGAAATGTTCATTGCATGCTACAGTGCACAAGTCATCCACATCTTCAAACAACTACATTTTTTTCAGATATACTACAGAAAAGATTACATACTAGATAGGTTGAGAAGACAGAACAGCTCGTATAAAGGCTTCAGTAAGGACTGGCACTCTTCAGACAGGTAGAATATGATCACAGAAATCCCAAAACAACAAMCTTTAGATTGTCCTCAACATAAACCACTTATGTCAATTATAGAGAGACATTTACTCAGAGAGAGTGTTATATACGTCTTATGAGTAAAACACAAAATAGTAGTGATACATAACTTACTTGCAAGTGAATGAAAGACCTTTGTTCCTATTGCATCTCTTGGCACATTGCTCCGTGGTATTTAACAGCTTGGTTTTTACTTCCAGTGATTTATTTACTTTAATGAGCATCATCTCTCCTGTTTTCTTGAAATCATGAAGAGGATTTCTCCTTTTTCCTTTTCCCTCTGAGAAAAAGGTCAACAAGAAAAAGAAAACAAACACTGTAAAGAAGAATATGGACAAAAATGGCATTCATGATACAATGAACATTGATGCCTAAAGCATAGTAAAATTCACAGAAGGCATAAGCAGAAATATGAGAAGACCTGATTTGTGGGGATGGTATTCTGGGGAATTGATTACTAATTAATAGGATGGTGATCCTCATTCTCAAAAACTTGGCTCTTTTGAAATACAGCAAAACTCATTCCAAACAGAGAACTTTGTAATATCAGAAACGTATAAGAGGCAAATTTTTCTATTTATTTAAGATCCCCCAATATATGTCTGTTATTCATCAGGTTAAGTCTGGGATCTCAGAAATCTTCATTTGGGAAAAAAAAATAAGTGAAAAAGATGGACAAAAGTCTTCTTTAGAAAGGCAACATGGAGTTAAAATCAAAAAGTGTTTTGCAACTGAAGCAAGTGCAGTTTCTGTTCTCAGATTGATATAATCAGACTAAGAAGTGCTGATGGAAAAGTCACCAGGCAACAGTTCCAGAGAAAAAGGTCTATATATTATAAAGAATCACTGTCAGAATGTGATAAACTGCTCTTAGCAGAGCAAACTCTTAATCACGGCTTGTGAACAGAACTGGAGCCTGGAAGACGCACAGAATAATCCCTTGTCTCCACCGTGATCCACTGAAGACACAACGTTAGTGTTGTGTCCATCCTAGGTGTGATTGAAGTAAAATAATTTCAAAGAAAACACTACATGACAAGTAAAGTTATTTTCAAAATAAAAAAAAAAAGATGAGAAGGGACAGAGACCCTAATATGGCAGTAACAGTGTGCACTGCTGCAGAGATTTCTATGGAAAGGAAAGTATATAACTGATTTCCCAGCCTCTGCCAAAAGGACCAGTACAAACTGCAGCAGGGAAGGTAGACTAGATATGGTTGGCTAATGTGCAAGAAGGAAAGGTCTTTCGTTTTTGCAAGAAAACACAATACTTCTGCAAAAAAAACTTTTTGTTTCCCCGCTGGGAAAATCAATAGAAAACACTGCATTCATATGAAAAGTGTATTTTCAGCAAATCAGTATGTGAAAACAGACAAAAATTTAGCATTTCCCATTGATTAAGTGGGAAATTTTGATTCCCAAAATTTGAGGGTCCAATCCATTGTCCCAGTGTTCAGTGCTGGGTGTCCTGTGAGACAGGCCAGACTTCTCTGCAGTCTGCAGAGGCTCATGAGTACCTCTGGAGGGGGGATACTCCCTGTTCAATGACAGATTAGTAACGAGGAGGAAAAAAATAGTCTTTGGAGATGTTTCTATTTTTCACTCAGGGATCATACATTTAGGCAGATAAAGTTAAGTGAATTAATTCCTCTCCAATTTATAAAATAGGGAATAGCCACTATTTTCCATAGCTTCTTTTCCTGTAGCAGTTTCCACATCTGTCTTTTCATTTTTCTCCACAACCTCTACAGCAATGACAGAACATCAATTTATTGAATTCTGCCAGAGTTCTGCAATTATATGAATTCTCAACCTCACGCTCCATTATCCTGAATAAATAATTCCTCATGCAAGTGTAAAGAGCCCTTAGGTGAATTTTTGCTTGGCACGCTCTATGCAGATGTTCAGAATAACTCCATGAATTGCAAGGCAGCAGTAGAAGAGCTTCCCACAGCTATGAATGACTTCCTGACACTTGTATATACTGCAAAGCCAAAGAGGACCTGAGGGTTTCTCTTTGCAGAACTTCCAGCCTTACCATTACATGAGCTCACTTTTTCACYGGATTCAGTTAAATCACACCACTCAGTGCTGAGTTATCCATAGAACACCAAAAATACATGGAAGGCATTTATATTAGATTTCATCAAGCTTCAGCTATTACAAATCACAGGAATGAGTATCTGCTACTATGCGAAAAAAACTCTGCTCTATCCTTTTCTCCTCTTTTTCAAACTGCTGAGTGTGAACATGCAACTCCTCTGTGCTCAGTAGGCCATAGTTTGATCAAAGTAAAGGCATTTTCAGAAAGATAAATTTATGAATTGATCTCCAAATCTATTATCACTATTTGAAGAAACTTTCAATTAAAATAAGGCGTGCTGCTAGTTATGGTGCTGTGTTAGGGATACATACTATGGGTTTTAGGGTTTTCCAGTGTAGCATTGTGCGTAAGCACCTAAATTGAATCATAACATGTAGGGAAACATTAGGAGGAAACTATTGTGTTAAGTATTAGCAACATATCTTTTTGTTTGTTTGTTTCTGTTCCTATGATAGAGCCAAAGTGCTGCAATAAATATTGCATCTGCTATTTAAGGCAACCACAAAAAAGCAAGCCTTCCATAAAGCTTTTGTGATAAATGTCTTACTCTTATCTTACAGGATTTCTTTGTTATTTCTATTTTGTCTCAGCCATGTTTTTTTTATGTGAAAAGGAGGTAAAAATTTTACAGAAATATCAAAGCATTTTCTTCCAGTTCCTGATGATAACATTTCCCCTTCACTGATAAGTATCATTATCTTAATTCCTTATGATAACAGCCTCTTATGCTCTCATCAGCTATCAGGCAAAAATATGATGAAAAGGAAATCAAGTAATTTTGTTCAGACTGAAAAACATGGGTCACAGTTGTGCTCTTTTTATTTTTCCCTGAGAAGTTGTCTAAAGAGGATTATGGGTTTGATCTTGCATTTATCAATTCTTAACAGCCTGATTTACTTCAGTTTTCAAACAATAACATTCTATGACTTTGCCTGTAATCCAGAAGGCATAGGGCCAAATGCATCTTTGGTGCGACTCTGTTAGAACCATAAGAATAATGCAAGGCATTAATTGTATAATTCCAACAACAACAAAAAAGAAATAAAAATAATTGAGTTTTCCTTTTTAATTCAAATTCAGTGCTTTTATTATTAAACTCTTAAATAAAGGAATACCCTACAGATGTTCTGCATTAAAGACTCTCAAGCAGCACGCTCTGATAGTGCTAATTTTTGATTGTCATTCATTCCAGTTTCCTAAACCTTGATCAGCTACGACTCTGGGTTATTTTGTGGATTATATCTTCTGATTTTTCACATATTTAGCAATCATGTCAGATTTCCTAATCTGACATTCAGTTTACTATTGCAAATAATAGCAGATGATTCAAATAGAAAATAATCCAGTGCACTATGAGGTAGGAACAGCCCCAGTCTACATATACTCTTTATCTTCCCCAGGATGGGGAAGATTTCCCTTATCATCTTTTCTTGGAGGAGTTCCAGCCTATGGCAARTTCTCACAAAACCACAGATGAGGAAAATTATCGTTCTGCAGCCTTATAGTTAGAAACTCACTGGGAGGTTGAGGTACCTGCCTTCTAGCTGCTGCTTGACTGTGATTTTAACTATTTTATACAAAAGTAGATCAGGTCTACTAGCAATCACTGAGTAACATGCCCTACAATATTCCATATCACAAGAGATTAAGATACTTTTCTGACTAGCAAGAGAAATATCTCTTGTATCAGTAATGGATTTTGTACTTGAATCTTACTAGGTATTTTTTTACCGCTGGGAAAATTGCAGCAATGTCATTTTCTTTTTTCTCTTCTGGTCCTGTGTCATACACAGAAAAGAGCTTTGGGATCCCACAGGACCACATCACTCACAACTGGAATTATTAGAATGTATTTTAGAACCTCTACTCAAAACTATATTCAAAATGTTATTACATTTGCGGTATGGTTATTACAACTTGCTGAAACCTTATGCTTAGTACAAAATAATAGGTCTGATACCAAGCTGCATGGGAATACAAATATAGTTTTAGGCCATTCATAGTTGAAATACCTAAAAAAAGTCAAGTTTCAGATTCTCAAATCTTATTAAAACCACAGAAAGGGTTTGTTTTTTCATTTCCCCTTCTATAGTAAAAATATATATATATATATGCAAAATGATACCATTGTGTTGGTAACCAAAATAGCATACAGGACATTAAGAAGCCCAAAGCTTACCTTTGTCCAGGAAAAGGAGATCAAAATACTCTTTGCATTTTCTATATGMAAATTTTACAATGAAATGACCTCACATTATGTACTTATAGAGTAACCCCTTTCTCCTTTCTTCACTTGTCTAGCCTTTTTAACATAGATTTTTATTTAGACTTAGGAGTTGTAACCTCACCAAACACAATGGGAGTGCACTGGCTATCTCCTCCAGACTAATCTCTACACTTCTACTGACTTGTCACAGACTCTGTGGGGTTTTTATTGAATCCAAGTGGAGATGCATCAGGTCTCTACGTTTCACTCTGGTCTAAGCAACTGTTAGCTCTTTCTTAAAGAAACACAGCATGAGCCTCATTTCATTCTTTCTAAGAATCCCTCTTTATTTTACAGCACATGTGCATAAAAATGTAGCACCAAATTTTCCAAATCAGGAGATAAATAAACACACAAAAATATGTTTAAGTCAAGATCTTCAAAGAAATCTTGTAGCAGCTTTGTATTAGACCTATGTCCTGATTTTGTTTGTTTACATTTACAAATCTGRATAACAGATAATTTTTAGAACTCTGAAGTGTTTGAAGTGTTTATTTGTTTTGTTGCACTTTCAGCTATCCAGGGCAATGAAAGACTTTTACTGAAATAACTGCTTATGTCAGTTAGATTTGGAGAAAATCTGACTGACTGATTTTCTGTCAGATCAGATCAGTTTTGGAGAAACTATACATATAAATTGTACGTAAAATTGGATAATATGAATTATATCAGTGCTGTGCATTGTGCGTGTTTGGAATAATGCCAGAGCTAAAATAAATCTTTGAGGGAAAAAAAAAAAAAAGCAGAGAAGAAAAAGACAATAGGTAAATTTCTAAAATATAATAAACTGTCAGATAACTGCAGGAATCATTTTTAGTTCTTCCAAGTAATACCACCACATCCAAAATCAAGTGATATTAGGAAAAAAAAAAAAAGAAAGAGAAAAATCTCTGTGCACTGTCTGTAGAAAGCCACAGACTCCTAAGAATTGAACTATATTCTTGTGA